AATAAATGAATGATTTCAAAATTAAAAAAAAAAAAATGGGTCAAAGACAGAAAAGGCCGGGTTGCATTTCTATACTAAATATCATGATGCTGTAATGTTTTGAAAAAAATTTACCACTGACCATTAATGTGGAAAATTTAACTAAGTCAGTTAACAGGAAGTGGATGAGTGAAAGACTTGAAATCAAATCCCACAGTATGAGACCATGTGTCAATGCTGTTTGTCAAATATCAAGAGCCTGTGATAAGTAGTTGCTAAAAAAACTGTTACAAAAAATGTCCTACCATCGACCATTAATGTTGAAAATTTAACGGTAAACAGGGCGTGGTGAGCGACAGACCTGAAATCAAATCCGACGGTATGGGACCACGTCAATACTGTAAACCAAATATCAAGAGGCTGAGATAAGTTGGTATGGAAGACAAAACTATGAAACTATGAACATTTGTTTACATAAATTCCATAAATAAGTTCAAGGTGTGTGTGTGTGGGGGGGGGGGGGGTAATTCTGGAAATAGTCATGCTTGTCACACAACATATGTGTAATGATAAGAAAATATAAACAAGAGGGCCATGATGGCCCAAAGTCACTCACCTGTATATAGGCCCCGGAGCGGGCCAGTTTTAAACCCCAGGGCTTTTTATTTAAACAAACTTGGTTGACACACATTAGAAGATGTTTCATGCTAAACATCTAAGGTCTAGCTTGTTGGGTTTTTTAAAAGAAGATTTTTTCAAGTTTTTTTCTTTACACATATAGTTAAAAACAATGACACACCTGGGGCAGGACCAGTTTTGATCCCAGGGCTTTTATTTGAACAATCTTTGTAGACACATACTAGACAATGTTTCATGCTCAATATCTGAACTCTAGCTATTCAGGTTTTTCGAAGAAGATTTTTAGGTTTTTGCTATACACATATAAGGAAAATGAATGACCCCTGGGGCGGGGCCAATTTTGACCCCAGGGCTTTTATTTGAACAAACTTGGAAGACACTCACTAGAAGATGTTTCATGCTTAGTATCTAAACTCTAGCTATTTGTGTTTTTTTTTCAAAAAAGATCTTTTAAGTTTTTGTTATATGCATATAAGGAAAATGAATGACCCCTGGGGCGGGGCCAATTTTGACCCCAGCGCTCTTATTTGAACGAACTTGGTAGACATCCATTAGAACATGTTTCATGCTAAATATCTTAGCTCTAGCTCTTTGCATTCTTTAAAAGAATTTTTTTTAAGTTTTTACTATATGCATATAGGGAAAGTCAATGACCCCTTGGGGCGGGGCCAATTTTGACCCCAGGGCTTTTATTTAAACAAACTTGGTAGACACCCATTAGAAGATGTTTCATGCTAAATATCTTAGCTCTAGCTCTTTGGGTTCTTTAAAAGAAGATTTTTTAAGATTTACTATATACATATAGGGAAAATCAATGACCCCCCCAGGGTGGGGCCGATTTTAATTCTAGGAACAAAAATTTGAAACAAGTTTGGTTTTGGACCTATTGATGATACCATAGACCAATATATCAAAGCTCTATGCCATTTACTTTCAGACCAGAAGATTTTTCAAGTTTTCCACTATATGTATATAATGAAAATCAATGAAAAAAAAAAAAAATTTTTTTCCCCGAGGGCGGGCCAATTTTGACCCGAAGGCCATTATTTGAACAATCTTGGTAGAGGTCTACCACACAATGTTTCATGCCAAATATCTCACCTGTAGCCTTTGCCAATTCAGAGGAGAAAGATTTTTTTATGTTTTACTATATTACATATTAGAAAAACCTATGACCCCCCGGGGGCAGGGCCAATTTTTGACACTAGGGACAAAATTTGTACAACTTTGGTATTGGACCTTCAGATGATACCATAGACCAAATATCAAAGCTCTAGGCCATTTACTTTCAGACCAGAAGATTTTTTCAAGTTTTCACTATATGTATGTAATGAAAATCAATAACCCCCCGGGGCGGGGCCAATTTTGACCCTAGGGCCATTATTTGAACAATCTTGATAGAGGTCTACTACACAATGTTTCATGCCAAATATCTAATCTGTAGCCTTTGCCAAATCAGAGAAGAAGATTTTTTTTAGATTTACTATATACATATAAGGAAAAACCTATGACCCCCCCGGGCGGGGCCAATTTTGACACTAGGGACAAAATTTGAACAACTTTGGTAGAGGACCCATAGATGATACCATATACCAAAAATCAAAGCTCTGGCCCATGTACTTTCAGACGAGAAGATTTTTTATTTTTGTGTTTTTTGAAATCCTTTTCTGGCCCTATGACCTACATATGCAACAGACCGGAACCATTTGAACAACTTTGAAAGGGGACCACCCAAGGGATTATTTCTGTAAAGTTTGATTGATGTGCAGTCATTGGTTTCAGAGGAGATGTTGTTTATGTTAAAAGTTGACGGACGCATGACGGACACAGGGCCATCACAATAGCTCACCCTGAGCATTGCTCAGGTGAGCTAAAAGTAAATTAAATTACTTATAATATTTCTTTAAAAAAATCCTAAGTTCAAAGGGATATTAACCTGAAAATATTGCTTTAAGAGTTCTGAACCTAGTCACATAAGATGTAATTGATGATAAGGAATATGTATTTGAAGTAAGAGGTAGATGCCTTTGAAACTAAAGAAGTCATAGTAAAAAATAATATTTTTCAAGTAAAAAAAATCTAAGTTCATGGGGAGTTATTCTTGCAATATTGGTGCTAGCATTAACAGCCTTGTCACATAACATTTGGTTAATGATAAGGAACATAATATTTTGAAAATATGAAGTTGATCCATTAAGAAATAAATAAGTAACAGTAAATAATAGCTGTCGGTAGGACAGCAACGCTCTACCATTCTAAGTGCTTGATAGAAAAAGAGCCTTGATAATGTAAAATGTTAACAAAAGGGCCAAATTTTCCTTTAAATCCATGTTACTGTTATAGGGCCAAATTTTCCCTTTCAATCCATGTTACTGTTATAGGCCTTGAAGAGAGTCCTATTATGCTCTCAAAGAAGAGTATAAAATTTCAACTTATTCCTAGCCAGATGTCAATAGTTTATGAAAATATCTGAGGTGGTATGCAAACTTTAATTAAATAACATAAAATCTAAGTCGGAAAAGGGGCATAATTCTGTCAAAATGCTTGATACAGTTATATCCTCCTGTCTACAGGTTGGGTCATGATGGTGAACAAGTGTGCAAAGTTTCAAAGCCATATATCAATGGACTTTGATATTTGAGGTATTACAAAAACTTTAACATAAGTTATTACACCTACGCTGACACAGATGCCAACACCAACACTGACGCACTGGTGACTACAATAGCTCTACTTATTCTTATCGAATAGTCGAGCTAAAAATAACTTTTTTTAGGAAAATTTTATCTTCAAGAGGAGATAAATTTGAAAATATTGGTGCTAGAGTAATGAACCTTGTCACATAAGATGTGGTTGATGATAAGGAACATATATTTGAAGTATGAAGTTGATCCCTTAAGAAATAAGGAAGTAACAATAGAAAATAATATTTCTTAAGGAAAATTCTAAGTTCAAGGGGAGATAAATCTGAAAATAGTGGTGCTAGAGTTATGAACCTTGTCACATAAGATGTGGTTGATGATATGGAAAACCAAAACTTTAATCTGAATATGGACGCGGACGCCGGGGCAAGAAGGACGGCTCTCCATATACTTTGTATAGTCTAGCTAAAAATGAAAAGTAAGAAAGTGTTTTATGCAGTAAACATTAATATAAATATAAAAGTGATATGGCACTTTTTGTACTAAGAAGCGAGGAATGATATTTTATCTTTTCTTGCATTCTAAATCTATAGTAAATGATATTATTACCGTACCTTCCTTGCCTATTAAATGTATGGTATTGTACCTAACAATATTGCTTTAGCAATGATGTTCTAGGGTTTTCACATGTTGGTTTACACAAAATATCCATACATATATCTAATTTCTATTATGATACATATATACATTAAACTTTATGCTTTAAACAAAAAAATAGAACTTTTTACAACATTACCATTAGACAGGATTAATTTTGACCCCAGTGATACTACTGAAGTTTTCCAGATTGTATGTAAATGATAAGCAGACTGGAAATCTATACAACATAGCAATATTATGAGGTATCCAATGCATTTCTCTGCTTAACTTCAGCTAGAAACTTTTTAAAAGGAAGTTTTTCACATATTTCCAATACAATTTAGGTGAAACATGTAGGTCCATTGGCATTCAGGGCTTCCATTAAGATCCAAAATTTGGAAGTCAAAGACTGCAAAATGTCTTGACATTGGAAGTAACTTCATATTAAGTAAAGAAGAAAAAAGCATTACATTTTGGAAGTCACAAGCCAAATTCAAGGAGTGAAATGACTCCCAAACTTCCATTAATGGAAGGCCTGCCATTACTATGAAAATGGTAGCCTTATGTTCATTTACAAAAAGTGTTTATACCTTGATCATTCAAACAAAACGTTTCTCCAAAAATTGTGTATTTCTCTTCTAAACAAACAACTTTGCACATTTCAACATCTTACAGATCACATATATTCGTCTTACATGTTCACAGATATATATACAATGGATAGGAAGCTCAGAAAATAGTTGATAGTCAGATACAGATCCACAGTGCGCTTCGACGTTAATATGGTTTTCCCACTAGTCCCCGATTCTCGCACTCTCGTTAAACTTCGGCGATATCCATGAACTACTGTTTACATTGGCGACATTGTTTTTTTTTGAGAAATATCTGTGTGGAAAAGTGTGTATGGTTCGTTTTAACATAAATAACTATTGCTTCGTATGTAAGTAGAAAATGCTTCGTCTTTTTTTGTCAATGTTCCTCTTGGAATTCAATATGGCGGATATTTTGGCTACTTTTACCCAGGATGCATCAAATCTTGGAAAATCCCGAAACACATGATAACTTGCGTTAGAACAACCCCCAATAATACTGAATTTGACCTGTATGACGTCTAAGTTACTTCTCCATCTATATTAAGCTCCATGACATGTCCAATCAATCAGTAAATCAATAAGTTGATTGATCATTAGAACATTCAATCAACAATCATCAATCAGAGAATGAATCATCGAGTCAATGAAATCGAGGAAATCAACACTCTGAAATTAAACAAATTACATCAACATAAAAATAGAGTTAAATCAATTTCCTATGTCTGAAATGCATAATTATCATTTAAATAAAAACCTCCAAATTTATGGTCAATTAAAATAAACCCATTAACACTTTCTATATGATCTACGTAAATAACCGAGGTATATCGAGTGAAAAAATACGAGTTGCTTCCTTTATTTTCGAGTAAAATTGATATCTCTTATGCTTAAACAAAACCGCTAGTTTGTTCTGATTAAATGTCCGATTTTAAAATTTTATGTATTACACCAATAGCAAACGTTGGATCTTAGCTTCGTCACAGTATATTCTTCAACACATCTTTTGACTCCACAAAGTATTCAAATGAACAGTTAAACCTACCACATGTCAGACCATTTTACATACGATTTATGCAGTGAGAAAAACAACCGGTTATCTTTATTCCTAAAACTACTGATAAGAAAAGCCTCTCGTCTGCTAGTTCTGAAAGTGTTTATCAGTGTATTAAATATTTACAACACATTGAACAGCTTACTTAACCTGTAGGTATATTAACATATAATATAGCTATATGCTTTCTATTGGCCGCCACAATCATAAGTTCATTTAATGAAGTTATTATAAAATACATCATAATCATAAACAAATTCTAAACTCACCAGTTCGTGGAATTGAATGTACCAATAATAGCATTATCTTCTTCAAACACGCATACTGTCAAACTCTCTCTCTGCTGTAACTTCTGCAAAATATAATAAACACAATGTGCAAAGTGATATGAATAAAATGTGAGATTAAGTAAACAGAGAGCTAGATTAACGGATTTTTCGTTAAACAATTCTCAAAGGTTCCAAATCTCGAAAACTGATGACATTTCAAATCAGACCACACTCATTACTTAATTAAAAAAACATCTATGACATACACTCTATAAAACACTAATTTAAACCAAATGCAACTCAAAAAAATACTGACCAACTATCAGTAATCCATATTTCCAATAAATTAAGAAAACTTTGAACTTTTTACAAACAAAGCCGCTTAAACATAGACAAAACTAGTGATATTGCGGGAAACCAAGGGAAACAACTCAAACAACAAAAAATATATCAAGACACCTGAATTATCAACACTGTTACACATCATGAAATCCAAATAAGAATTCCAAAACAGATTACATTAAGTTCAAATAATATTGGTAAGTTTTCTGTACCTACTTTTAGAAAATGATGAGATCAGCTTTCACATACAAAAATAGCGTCGAAAACTTTGTTTTGGTACGAACTACTTCCTTACTCAAAGTTAACGCGAATGAATACTAATGATTTTTTTACTGATTATATCCTGAAAACATGCAAATAATATACGATAGAAATAACACAATCAAAAATGAACTACTGACAATTCAAAATCTTATCACTTGTGTGTGACAAGAAAATCTGTGTAGAACTACTTTGCGTTGTTAGGTACCCATTCTTATATTGAAATCCCGCAAATTGTGATAGAACTGTATTCACTGCTAACGCAGCGAATACAAAAATGTTCTTTATGTATTCGCCCCATTTACGACTTACACTCACCTAAAAGCAAAGTAAAAACGAAACTGATACAACAAATGAAGACTCAATTGCATTTAGATGTCAAATATACAATGTAACTTATTTCTAATAATCGGGTTCCAATATTCAGTTTTTGTGAAGAAAGTATACAATGATGATAAATGTATTTTATGTGCCGTTCGGTAACAAGCTGTTTTGAATGATAAAATGATGAAAAGGGAAGGTTTATCAAACATAGATAAATAATTGCAGTGGTACAAATAGTGACAACAGACATAATTTGCAATGAAATTATTTGCCAGGACTTTAAATAAAGTTTTTTTTTTAAATAAATGCCCCTAGTCATATGACTTGAAAAAGGAAACCCTAATGCAAAATAATTAAAGGATACTTTTTTCATAACAATTAGTCATTGTTATGAAAAAAAGTATTTTACCTGTTAGATTAATAAAACACAATAGAAATTAACGAAAGAAACTTAAAGATATACATGTACTATGCTTATCCTTGAGTAAAATATTTTTATGACAGAAAGTTATTGAAATCCAAGATAATTATTTTACTTATCTTGTCTAATGTGAATGAAGAATAATTTAACTCAATAATAACTTTAATCAAGTAAAGTTTGACCTTTCTTATAAAACCTGCCAGTTTTTTAATGACGCATATATTCAAATTGTGATCATCTTCATTGGTTAGAGGTTTTAGTACAACATATCTTCTGGTGTGAAGTCAAAACATGTTTATTCAATATTTACAAAATGACACTTTCGCAATAATCAATATTTTCTAATATCAAATTTGACCATATCATATCTTTAAACAAAGAAAAATTAAAGATATTAAATGTATTAGTTTACATAAACTATGTTAAAGACATGTACAAATGCGATTAGTTAGTAAGGGTAAACATATCAATTTTTAGATCTACTTTTCACGAACTAAAATCGAACATGCAAAAGAGTAGACAAATATATTTTAATCAATCGACATCGTACTTTAGGTTAATTTATATAAAAAATGTCCAGTAAGTTTACTTAGCTTTACAACGCATGCATACTTAGAGTATTCTGAGACCACTTAGATATTTAATATAAAAGACATGATAAATATTAAGCTGAAATGTTGTGTTTTGTGGAATAATCAAACGCAATATAAAATACAATATTGGGATATAGTTATGAATTATGCATATGACTAATCATAATTAACTGACCGTTTTATGTGTTATTGGGAGGTGGAGGAACATATTTGTGCTTTACATGCTCCTGTAACACGCAAATAAAAGAAAATATTTGCAACATTGCAAGATGATAATAAATTTAGAATTGATTGTTATTTTATTACTGGTTTATTATTTGAAAAACCAAATCATATTTTTAATTGACATGAACTATGTTTGACGGTGTAATATTATGCAATAAACACAGTACGAAACTTAGACATGGTTGTGTTATAAAATCATGAATAAATTATAATTAGAACAGGGAAACATTGGTTAGTTGCACATCACTTACCTTGGTTCAATACATTTCAAATGATGTTTTTTATTTCACCCAATACATACATATATACCAAAGCTTACACATTTGAACAATTACACTGCTAAAAATAAAAAGTTCATAAACCAATAAAGTATTATATTTATATGTTATACTTATAAATGAAATATTGAGAAATATTAATGAATAAAACGTGTATTTTAATTTTCTGTATTTCCACTGTAAAAAAATTATTTTTTACTGACTACTTTCTTCTAAATTCAGCCAATAAACAAAATTTAATTAAAAGGGGGTCTTAAAAAAAGAAATATAATAAACAGAAAATAAAGTTTTTCTATAAATACAGGATTTATGTTCATCATGTGGTATGAACATTATCATATTTCACTCATGGCTCCCGCCACTCGTGAAATATTTATTTTCATCCAGTCAATGAAAATAAATCCTGTAATTATAGAAAAGACTTGAATACCCTCGATATATTCCAGTCATTATAAGTAGAAATCTTCCAAAAGATATATAATAAATGTTTTAACTTTACTCAATTACATAAGCAACATTGCATTTTGCAACTGTGCACTTGTTACAGGGACAATGTGTATATTGATATGAATATTCCAACCAATTACAAGTTTTGTGACTTTCATTAATCTTGATTAATTCCTTCATTCCAGAATGTTTAGAAATCAACCAGTTATGGCAAATACACCGGAAGTTCGAATAATAATGTAGAAGTAATCTTTGCTAAAATAAAGTGTAACAAGTGGATTCTAAACTAAAATATAAAATGCTATAGGCAATGTTGCAAAACAACATGCAGTACTTCACCCTATCCATTGTACTTTAAAAAAAATGATATGATCAATACTTTCTCTTAAACCTCTTTAACATTACAAAATCGTTAACCTTTCACAATTATCATATGTGTCTGGACAATTTACATTTCTATCAATAACAGCATTTTTTTGTACATCAAATTCTAATATATATTTAGATGATATAATCATTTTCGGAAAGGAAACAAGAATTTATCTCGAAAGGATTGCCAACGGCATGTTTGCCACTAATAATGATTAAAATGATATGTTTAAACCTTGGATAGTACATACGAACATACAGATTTTTATAGGTGTAATGATTACACGGACTGTATCAGTAAATATATATTTTCAGCATTTTCAAGATTAATGCTTTCTTTTTAGTTTAAATAACTTAGGTAATGCTAGCTATGTACGAATTATTTTAATTATAGACTGCACAAAACAGAAATGTATTTAAATAAGAACACAACAGTTCAAAAAGCATATTAGTCCATGTGTTTGTCAAATATAAGTTATCAAACTGTAAACGAGGGCGCATAAAAATATACATATCTATTAATCTGGTCATACGAAAGGTATTTTCATAATAAAAAGTTTTTATTATATGTAAATATTTTTCAGGGACACACAATTTTGAGTATCTAAGTTGAAATGAACTCACTTTCAATCATTTTATGTTCTATACAGATGCCATACGAATACTAAGTTGTTAACAAGTTAGTGTAGAAATGATTGTATTGGAAATGTCTGTGCCACGTACAGGAAATATATTTGTCTATCGAAATAAAATCTGTCACATCATTTGGTAGATTTAAGGATTAGCTTCCTCTGATAGCCTACACAAATTTCATTTGCAATGTGAGTAACTGTAATTTTGTTGCAATAGCGTAACATTTAATTTTTAAGGTAACATTTTGTTACATTGTATGAATTAGAAATCGAAAGAACAAAAATTATAGATGCAGTGTTCAAAATACGTCGCATAAAATTAAAATATTTTCGCAGGTTTTACAAACCATAAATCAGCTAAAGTCTTGAAAAAATGTAACTTTAATAGAGATATTGATATACAATTAAAGAAATGAAATATCTAAAATAACGACGATAAATTGCTTCGCACTAATTGTTTCAATACACAATTTTTTCAAAATGCCTTGATAGTAAGATATTTAGCTCAACCCCTTCGGTTACTTATTATTTTGTTTACCTTTATTATAACGTTAACTTCTTGATTAAATTACATGAATATATAAACAAAAAATGGAAGTGATATAGACAGACCTGATGTTTTATAATTGTCCATTCAGAAAATGAAATGAAACAGTCATGCAAAACAGAGAAAATTGGGAGAATTTGAGAGACAAAAAACGTAAAAGACATCAGCCAATAAAATGATATTGTCTCACAATGATCAAATTATCCCGTATCCAATTCCTCATTTCAGGACAAACTAACTGTTTTTCCTATCGTAAAAAATACAAAATTAATATTTTAAGAACCCTCCTGGCGATTTAAATCACTTTAATTTTTCTTCAGCAGATATTTCATATACAGCACGTGTTTTCTCTGTTGAGCTTTCTGCTTTGTACTTTTAAGATTTTAATCTCCTATCAGCTAAGTCGTCTATTAAATTCCAAAGAATTTTCACTGATTATAGTGAATCCTTTTGAATGCCAGAGAGATATTACATTATCTCAATCAAACAAAGCCGTACTTTAGGAATTCATTTTTTTCTCCAAATTTTTCTTTCAGAATTTCAAAGATGTAAAACTATGAAATCTATTTAATTACCCTTACAATTGTATAGTGAGGGTTGTTCGTAGCGTGCTAGTTGTTCTCTATTGCTTATGTTTATTTTCACTGTAAACATATGTTGCGTTCATTGAACTTCCTTGTTGATCTTGTTTATCATATTTTAAGTAATATTTCAATTGTCATTTTATATCCGTCATTTGAATGTTTTAACTAAAGCTGTGGACATGTTTACAGTTTCTATCATCAACTTCAATGAAGAACAAAGTTTATGTCCACGAATGTTCACATTAAAACTCATTATAATATTAAAACAAACATAATCTCATTTAAAATCCTACTAAAACCATGAAAACAGGACTAAAGAAAACGAAAACATCCAAATACTTTAAACACACAGACAATATCATATTAAATTGTTTTTGTAGTCACTTTGCGCCGTTGGCTTAATCGTACCTAGAATATACTTATCTGTTTATCCTGGTATTTAAAGGTTGAATAAGCCAATTGATATTATTGCTATTGATGTAATTAATCATCTTTATTATCTTTTACGGTAACTTGATAGAAAAAGCAAAGTTAAAATGTGACTATTGTAATGGACAAAAATCATGAAATAAGGCGATTAATTCAAAGGTTATGAAAGTAAAGCAGTTAATTGACAGTTGCAGATTAGTTTTTTATTGAATGCATTCAGGAGATATATTTGAATCAATAAGCCCGACTAAATTTAGACTATATAAACACTGTTGAAAGTAAATTTAAAGTGTTTCTTCTTGTCCACTTGTACACTCAGTCACAGTTACTATTACTGTCTATACGATTTACACTTTCGCATATATCAGTAATGCTATTGTACATCAAAAGCTTATATATTTTAGACGGGATTT